CCTTCTTGTCCTTCTTCGCCTTCTTCTCCTTTGTACCCTCTTTCTGCTTCTTGTTGGTCTTCTCCTTTTTGTCCTTTTTCTCCTTTTTCTCCTTCTTCCCCTTTTTCTCCTTCTTACTCACGTGAGAGACCTGCTTCATCAGGGCGTTGAAGCAGCGGGCCGTCTCCGATGACATGGGACTGGCCATCGAGGAGGAGGAGGACCCACGACGTCGACCGGAGGACCTCGCACGACCAGAAGACCTCGCACGAGTCCTCCCACGCCGCCCTGAAGACCTCGCAGGACTAGGAGAGGCCTTCGGCGACGGCAGCAAAGGAGTCGGAGAAACAGTCGTCCTCCCGGACTTGGCGAGCTCCTCCTTGAAGCGAGCCCTCTCCTCCTGGACAGCAGAGTTTGTGATTAACGATTGATGTGCTTCAGCTCATTTACCCTTGGGATTAGTTTAAGGCGGAACTCTAAAGTTTTTTTCATTTCAGGTGTAGGGCTGTAAAGATGCGAATGGTTAGGAGGCTTAGGCTTAAGGTTTGAATCCACCGCCTTGTGGAGGGCCTCTGCATGCTTCAGATTCTGGGATCGCCGCCACATGTCCAGTCGGAGGACCTCATTCTCCCTCTTCACCTTCTCCGCCGTGTCCAACCGCTCAATGGAGCTCGCCCTTGGAGCTTTGAAGGGAATTATAACAATAAGGTTCAGGATTTAGGGTTTAGGGTTTAGGTTGTAAGTGCTTTGTCAGTCAGCCAAGACACATCACCTGCTCCGCCATCCGAGCCACCACCTCCTGCTGAGGGCCGGTGTTCACAGTCACAGCATGGCCAGGATTCGGCTGAGAATGCAAAGCAGGAGGAGGAGCACGGAATGGCTGTAGAGGGCCTGCAATGCTTCCGCACATATTCCAATTAATTGCTGCGCAAACCGGCTAGGCTAGTATTAAATAAACTTAGACTACTAACTTTGCTACTTCGTAGTACTGCAGCTAACCTAAATCATGTTAGTCTAATCTAACACTAAGACGACGCCCAAGCCTGGGCGGATAAAAGGGCTCGGAGAGGGAGTGCCCTTCGGAGCTGCCGCTGGGATTCCCTTCGGGAGGGCCGGCTTGGGATTGGAAACTGGAGAAGGCTTGGGATTGGCCTTGCCAAAGAGAGGCTGAGGAGGGCCTGACTTGGCGGCAATCGGTGGGTTCGCCTTCGGAGGACCAGCGGCAATCGGTGGGTTCGCCTTCGGAGGACCAGCCCCGCCCTCCGGGTTGGCCTTGCTAAAATTATAGCAATTCGGCCAACCCGGAGGGCGGGTTGTGGGATCTGGGAGAGGCCTGCCCCCCTGAGTGGCCTTCCACCTCGCTGCCGCCTTCGCCTCCTTAGTTTAAGGCTCTGGGTAAAACGAGTTAAGCAAGCTAGCTAAAAACTTAGGGAAGGAAGTAATGGTTGGGGGATACTCCTGGTGGGCCTAGAAATGATTAATTCAGCTCCTACCCCCTATCCCCCTAAAACCCTAAACCCCTAATAAGCATACTAAAACCTATGAATAAAAGTGATTCCGTGAGGACCGAGAGACCGACTCTCTGGCGGCGTTCCGCCAGTAGTCGGACACCTTGCCTTTCTTGACCATGGCAAAGGCGCCGACGGAGTCGGAGGACCTATCGAAAAACCTGGATTAAAGTGCCTAGCCCACTGGGCTTAGATCTTCAATTGAGTGTAGATGGCTTATGGAACTACTTATAGCTACCTGGATGTCAGTTGGCAACAGCTCAAATGCTAGTTGCCTCTCAACAACTTCTGCTATGCGAAGACTTGACCTGAATGTCAGTTGAGGCAACAGCTCAGGAGCTAGTTGCCTCTGAACAACTTCTACCAGCACAAAACTAGACTTGTACCTGGATGTCAGTTGGCAACAGCTCACAAGCTAGTTGCCTCTAAACCAATTCAGGCTATGGATGACTACAGGAGACTCACTCCTAATGTGTGTTAATTGAACAGGCCGGATGCCCCTCAGGCTACCGGGATAAGTTTTCGAAAGTTCGCAGGAAGTTCGCAGGAATCGCTGACTGCAAGCCGAGGTAGCGGCAGTGGCATACAAACATACCGAGAACACAAAAAACACAACGGAAACATAACCTGGCTGAATTAAGGGGTCTCGTCTGAGTCTGAGGGTGTAAGGATTTCCGGCTCATTGATTGAGTGCTAGATGCAAGATTCAGAGAGTTTCGGGTCGTTGTCCATTGAGTCCCAGGATTGTGGACTTAGGTGCTTAGGTTCGCGGGTGAAGGTGTTGGTTGAAGGCTTAGGCCTCAAAGGGTTTAGGCTATTTCGGTTTAGGGTTTGATCCGTTCTTGCCCTAAGACTGGCAATTGCCGAACCACTAGCCTCAACAGCTAGATTCTAAGGCTATTGAGTAAATGCTGTTGACACGTGTTGAGGATCACCCCACTTCACGTCTAAATCATGCTTCATAAGACTATGTACGGCAAAAAAACAAAGAACCCACACCATACACACCCCTCCACACTATGGGTTCCTGGGGCCGTGCTTTATGACACTGAAGTGGAAGAATACAGAAGCACCCCGGGACACCTACACAGCCCTCCATTAACAGGCTCCTTGGGCCATCCATGCATTATGTCATGTTATCCAATTATTGCACCGAAAACGAATATGAAACTAATATCTGTATCATGTGGGAAATACGGAACCCACCCCACAACAAAACCCCTCCACGCTGAAGCTTCCAGGGGCCATGCTTTGGGTTACACGCAGTGCTGTTAGCAATACTTTTTGTTTGGGTTAATGAAATAATGAAAACCCCGGCCAAAGCTCCCTAAACCTTCGGCCTAAACTCTGAATCGCCCTCCCGTCTCTCCTCCAGGAGGGCCAGAAGATGGATCCGCCGAGCCTCGTGAAGTTAGGCTTTAAGGCCCTAGGGTTGAGGGTTTCGGGGCCTTGGGTTTAGGGTTTCGGGGCCTTGGGTTTAGGGTTTCGGGGCCGAGGGTTTAGGGTTTGGGTGCTAGGGTTTAGGGTTTAGGGCCTAGGGTTTAGGGTTTAGGGCCCTAGGGTTGAGGGTTTGGGGCCTTGGGTTTAGGGTTTCGGTGCCTTGGGTTTAAAGTTTCGGGGCCGAGGGTTTAGGGTTTGGGTGCTGGGGTTTAGGGTTTAGGGCGCTAGGGTTTAGGGTTTAAGGCCCTAGGGTTGAGGGTTTGGGGCCTTGGGTTTAGGGTTTCGGGGCCGAGGGTTTAGGATTTAGGGTGCTAGGGTTTAGGGTTTAGGCCCCTAGGGTTGAAGGTTTGGGGCCTTGGGTTTAAGGTTTATTAGGGCCCTAGGGTTGAAGGTTTGGGGCCTTGGGTTTAAGGTTTCGGGGTCTTGGGTTTAGGGTTTCGGGGCCGAGGGTTTAGGGTTTGGGTGCTGGGGTTTAGAGTAGTTAGTGGATAGTAGTTAAAGGCAGTAGTTAGTGGTTGGTTAGTAGCTAAACCTGGAAACCCAGGGAGGACCTACCAGGATGGGGAAGACCCCGATTAAAGCCAGCACCCCGCCCAAAACCCAAAAACATCCTCCTCGGCCACCTTAAATCCCAAAGCCTCCCTCATCACAACTTGTGCTACAAACCCTGCACTACGACTACGATTACTGATGAGTCAAGCCCCAGACTCAACCCGGAACCAAACGAACATCCCGCAACCCCAACCCTGGTCCTACTGTCGTCCTAAGTCGCCGAGTCCTTCCGTCCTAGCGGACGGTGAGTCCTAACGGACTCCGGACTCTATCGTCCTAACGGACGATCTCGTCCTAACGGACGAGTCCGACCTAACGGTCGGGCGACAACACGGACGACTTCTGAAGCTTAACCTTAAATCTTAATCCAAAATTCAGAACGCCTCAACCCGAAAATCCAAAACCCCGCACTGCAGATCTGAGCTGGGGCAAAAGCGCGACTCGATGATGTGGTCCATGGTGATGGCCAGGGGCTTTTAGGACTAGAGGGCCATGGCGCTTGAAGGGTTAGGGTTTAGGGTTTAGGGTGTAGGGCGTATGGTTCAGGGTTTAGGTGCAGGGGTTGAGGGTTGGAGTTGTGGAAAGAGGGGTGAAGGGTTTAGAATTTCAGGATACTGGAGTTTCGGAATCATAGGGTTTCTAGGGTCTCGGAATTATAGGGTCTCGTCAGAGGGTTTGGGGCTCAAAGTTGGTTCAACCGCCTAACCATAAATCTTGAAACTAGCTGTCCTATGTCGACTATGGTTTACTGCAATCTGAACCCAAAACACGGACTCTTCAGTCTGAAGCTCGGGCAGAAACACCGGCAAAAATCGAAACCCCTCCCAAGGAATAGCTAGTAATAATATCAGAGCTGGCTAGTAGGACCCTAAACCCTAAACCCTCATATAAGTAACCATATACCCTATTACAAACCCTAAAGGCTTAACCTAATATACCCACAGGCAAAGGTACATTCGGCCTAGGGTACCCTTTAGCAGTTCCCGAAAAAAATCAGGACCTGCAATGAAACCTGGCATCAAACCTGACATGAAGTCAGGAACAAAGATAACATCGCGACTGAAGTAACCGGATGTCGGCACCATCAGAGCAGCAAATTCAGTCGGACCTGTGAGGACCACGACGGGCCCAAAACACTTATCCCTGCCTTTAACAGATCAACTCTGGCAGGTACTCGCACGGGCAGACCCCGTCGCAGGTAGCGCGGTAAACGAATACAAGACCAGCTTGTAACTACCTGGAACACACTTAGACATCCATCGCGCAGCCACTAATCAATCTGGTTATCAAGCACCGCTTGATGTATCTCGAAAGCATGAAGCTTTCAGGGGGTCCGGTACCTGTCTGGCCTCAAGGCTCATCTTCACTTGATCGCTGACTTTTTGACTGTACAAGGCAAACTCTGCCAAACATGCACATGAAGCTGCACTGCACTCCTACTCGCAATCAACGGTTGTGTGGTCACAAGCTGCACTAATGTGCCCATGCCGACCACTGCAGGTACGTTTACCTGTCTCAATATCACGGAGCTTCATTGGCAGAGGCCGTGAAATGAGACCCTCTGCCCCCTGCTATTTCCATCAATTCAGCGCGACTGTCCAGAGTGCTGCAAAAAACGGTTCCTCTTGGCAACAGAGGTCCACACACGCACACACACACACACAGAGGCTCTCTCTCTCTCTCCCCTTCTGTGCGTGCGCTAGAGCCCTTTGCGCCGGGGTACGGAGGTGTGTCATCGGCACACCGTGTAGAGACTGAAACATTCTGGCTGACATAGGAGCTCAAGGACTGCGGACTGCAGCCATCCTCGGCGGTAGCAAAGCATGAAACGTGCGCAACATCAGATAACAATGCTGCAATCCCTGACATTGGACATGGAGCTCTGTGAGTGTATGCCTATGCCCTTCGTGAACCCTCACGAGCATCTCACTGGGGCACCGTCTGTGGCCGTGGGAGGAGCCCCGCGACTAGGCACGTACTGCAACGTCCTCACCAGCGACTCCTGCCAGGCGCAGTGCTTCCGTGTTGGGGTGCCAGACCATGCCGCATAGAAGCACGAGTAGCACCTACTTGCACGTGCAGAGTCCTAGAGTCTAGAGTACCACGTCTTGGCGAGAGACGATCGCAGGGAGTTTGACACGCACGCGCTGTCATGCTGAGAGTTGCAGCTCCTTCTCTTCGGCGAAGCGAAGTCCGCTGATGATGCAAGCAGAGATGAACTCGTAGACTGCTACCCAAGCCTGGCAGGCTTGTCGCGTGCTGCATTTACAGCTAGGAAACAGTGTGCGTGGGAGGAATCCCGCATCAAGAACGGTCTAGTCCCAAACGCGTGTGCGCGCTCCAAAATCTACAGCGCTAGGGCTTCAGGTGACCCATCCTGTTACGCTTGGGGATTGGATGCACAAGCACGTGTGTTGGATGCGGCAGGCCATGAGACTGAGTAAAGCACAGCCCAACATTAACGTCTGGTGCGGTTCCAAAGACTATGGTCACCATCCAGCCAACATAGCCAACCCCGTGTTGTTGCGAGACCGCCGATGCGACATCAAACCGCAGAATCTTCAGGGGTTCAGTTGCTCTGTGGAATGCGTGGCCTATATGGCAGGTTGCATCACTGGTCTCGAACATCAAGCTGGCCTTGGGGGGGTTGCAGCTGACCGCTTCGCTTTGGGGAGCTTCAGGCAATCATACCAGTGTCATCCTTTGGGCGTATCTGCATGCCGGATGCCGGCTGCATTCACGTGGATTCGACAATGAGAATCAGGCCTAAGCCTGGTTGTGGCACCACGTTCTCGGACTATGAGGCTACACACAGAATCCAGCCCATGCGTTGTGGACAAGCAGTCGGTCATGTCGGCAAGCAGAGAAGTCACCCTGGTCCCCGGTTGCGATGAAATCTCTGTTGCATGCATTCCAAGTCAGAACAACACGTCGGGACTCAAGCGGTGTCTCGGATTCTCATGAGGGGCCGCCTGCTTGACGTCTTCAGTCAAAGACGTGCCCAGTCCATCCTGCTAAACACTGCAAGCACGGGACGTTATGAGCAGCGACTCGTCGCGGCGCGGCGTTCGTCGCGCTCCTGCAAGGTCAGAACCAGGGCTTGGCCGCCGTATTCGAAGAACTCCTGCAGAGGACCGCAGAGCGTGGAGGCTCTTGACTTAGACGATTTGGCAAAGTCGTGGCTGCCCCCTCCCACTTGTTCCTCTTTCATGTTGTAGTTGATGTGACGCATTCCCAAGGCATTCAACTCCTTCGTGCAGGCGACGCGTGCAACAGCTGCAAGGCTTCATAGGAAAGGGCTGCTGCCGAGGTTCAGCGACGAGCCTCGAGATATTGTGCAGTCCAGCCACAGCACTTCCCACCGCCTCGACAACCTCACACAGCACGACTGCACTCAGCTCCGTGTGCTATAAGTCTTCCTGCTGCGCCTTGGCGAAAAGGTTGCGCAGCGCCGGCGAGTTCTCGAAACCATCTTCAACCTCCGAAGTTATCAATTCGGGCTCGATACGAGTAAAAGTTGACGGCCCCGACTGGCCTCCTCATGGCTGCAGCTCCAGTCGCGATAACGATTGCGCACGCTGACTGGGAAGAGCGACTTGGTTACGGGGGCAATCTTGAACAGGTGCTTGTACATTATCTCGCCGATGTTCGCAACTCCGAGTTCCTGTCCAAAGAAGAACATCGCTGCCCTGCTTTCATTACGTGAGCCGTCCGCCTTCACCACCATCCAGCTCTGCTGCACAGTGCTGATGGTTCTGCTCGAAGGCACCATTCCCGGTTGCTGAGCCTCAGCTAAAGCATCGACAGCAACTGACGGGCGAAGAAGAACATCCCCAAGACTTTCGGTGAGTCCCTGCCGTCGTGCCGCAAAGTTGCTGTCTCCAACAACCTGGATGGAGGCTTGAACTCCTTTGCCGCCGCTTTGCCTCGGCCTCGACCCACGTCAGGCACGAAAACATCGGAAGCCTACCATCACACCAAAAGCCGGCCCCGCCTGCTTCGCCTGCTTGGGGCCGAGAGAGCAGTGTCTTCGAGCCATCCGGCAGACTCGGCGGCGGGACGAGCGCCTGCTCCACGCCGCGGCCACATGCCACAAGCGCCCTCTCTCTCTCTGGCTCTCAAAGCTTCGCGCCGAGCAGCGGCACCTTCGCCTGGAGCTCGCCAGCCTCCCGCATGCCACGGGCAACCGCCGAGGAGACAAAGTCCTGATGACAGGCAACATTCTCATACCTACAGGACTCTTCTACCACTTCCACTGCCAGCGAAGAATCCGCTCATGGGAGGATACTCAAGTACAGTATCATATGTCTCGCGGAGCGCATCCGAGCTTCAAAGACCATGATCCAAGCTTGATCTGCTTCCGGCGTTAGAAGGCCTTGGAGGCAGATGGATCAGGTCAAGGCTGCTCAAAATCCATCAGGCCAAGCCGCTACATTGGCCTCTGAAAGCAAGAAGAAGAGCTTGGCCGAAAGCCTTCAAGTACTCCTGCTCAGCTCGCTCAGCTTCTGGGCCTATTTCCCTCGAAGCGGAGAAGCGAAGCCGTCCTCCTTTGCACCATAGCCGGCATGGCGAAGCCCAAGAGCAGTCATGTCCAGAACCACCTTTCCTGAGCGTCCCAGACATGCACGTCGAAGGCCGAGCAACAGCGTGTCACCTGGATTCTGAAGTCTCATCACGGCAGCGCCCAATGCAGAGACCATCTGTCGAGAGGAAGCACGAGCTGATTCATGTGCCGCATGTCACCGTTCACTCCACAGCACAGAGAGGCCTTCGAGAAGAGCTCGCGCAAGGCTATGGAATTCTCGAAATTGTGGTCGGCCTTTCAGAGATTTTTCTCGCAGCCTCCAAGGACCGGCACGGTTCGAGCCTCCTCGATCGGATTGGTCCAGTCCCTATAGCGGTTGCGCACAGCCATCGGAAACAATGCCTTCGAGGATGGGTTCAAGATATACCTGGATTCAGACAGACAGCATCTTTTGTCGAGGCATGGAGGCGTAGCGTGAAAACTTGCACATCTCGCGACTGCTTGGCAGTCTCGGCAATCTCGCGACCACAACAATTGGAACCCCGTGTCTCCTAGACTCAGACATGTCTCCTAGACTCAGACAGGACACAGATTCTTGTAAACAGCCTCCGCAATCGTGCCGATGCTGGGGCGCATTTCCTGCCAGCTTCGCTGAGCGACCTTTGCATCTCAAGGTCTAATCGCCATCTAACCTCCATGTAGCTTGTGCCAGCATTTCCACGTTTTTGCAGCCCAGGCGCATCAATGACTTCTTTGGAGAGGCCCAATGCACTTGGTGGCAATGGCGCGACCTTATTCACTTCCAACAACACATCGGCACGCTCACACACACACACACACACACACTTACTTACTTGGTCTCATGAGCCAGGTGCAGCAAATGCCTCCGTGAAGTGAGTGGCAATTGCTGCTCAAACTCTTACTGACGAAGGGCTTCAACGGTGCTGGGCTTCGCCGGCTCCTGACTGAGGAGATCGTCAGGGCATGTCATGACAGTGAGGCGAATCGCGACACAAAGGCAGCTGGCCTTGCCCAGTCCAGGCTCGGTGCTTCGAAGCGCCCCCAGCAGCCGCGGGCCGTCTTTCGATTCCCGAAGACCTGGGAAATCACAACACCGGTCTCGCCGGACAAAGGGACATCCAGGGGCCAAGTGGGCCAAGCCCGAGACGCTTTTTGATCTTGAGCATATGTCCCGGCAAGAAGCCCATTGCCTGAAGGTGCTCATCCTGATGCACAGAGCAGCTACAATTCCAGGAGAAGTCTCGAAGAAAATCCAAAAGAGCAGGCGTTTCCTGAATCTCCAGCAGGGTCTCCATGTCGTCAAAGCCATCTCTGAACAAGGCATCGATGTATTGGGGCAGACCTCTGCAATCTCTCCAAGCATCGGCCAGCAAACAGAGGTGATCTGCAAAGATGGCATCGGCACAGGGGATCTCTGCGGCCAAGCCCGCCTATTTCGTGCATGAAAATGGCAACCTGTCCCAAACAAGTCGATTGGACAAGAGCGCTTGCACGCATAACGCAAATCGCCCCAACTCGCCAAGGGACGGGATTGCGTTCCTTGCCGCCCTTGCTGAGAGACCTGCTTGCGACCTGCCGGGAGCGGGGCAAAGACACGCGAAGGCCCCGAAAACCACGCTGGGGACCTGCGCCACCTTCGCCTGCCCCTCTCGACGGCCGCGTGCTGTGAGGCTTGGAGTGGCGACCGCTCGTTGATTCGAAGTCGTGCGGCCGATCGGCCCTGTGCAGCAGATCACGGCGTGTGCGAGCGAGTGGATTTCGGCACGTCTCTGCATCCGCCTGCTGTCGGCCGCGTGCCACGCACTGCGGCCTCTGGCCTCCGAGCACCTCAAAATGCAAAGACACCAGATTTCTCCAGCTTCACAGCAAAGACAGAGAAGCAAAGACGCCGGAAGACCGAGAGAGAGAGAGAGATGACGGACGAGAGTAGAGTCGAGGAGAGCAGAGCGATCAGGGCCCGGACGGTTCGGAAGCATGGCAGATTGAGTCGCCCCGCACAGGTGACAAGCTGATGGAGCCACAAGCGGCGAAATGCGACAAAGGCAAGTTCAGCTGCACCAAGTGATTTAGGTGTCCGACAGTGAGAATCATAAGCTCTCACTGGACTCATATCGATTGCTGACAGTTGCGCCTCCATGGCGCCTTGCTGACGGACTGCGCTCCGGCCTCCGGGAGAGAGAGCCCCAGGACATGGTCAACGCTACACGCGAGCAATCGCTAGCATATGCTCCGGTCCTTCGACGGTCCATGTCCGTGCTCCCTCCCAATCCTTTGCACTCCATGTCCAGCGATTGCCTGATTACGGCGGAGTTCGGGGTTCATGGCGTCTCACGAGTATCAACACATGAAGTCCACTAAGAAGGCATGGTCAGGACTGAAACAGGATCCTTGGGAGTGGCATCGACAAGTAGCCACCATCTCCATGATGTCAATGCAGAACACGAGACACTCAGACCAGGCATGACCAGGCAAGGGGCACCCGTAATACCTCGCGCACCTTCACCACAACCACAACGACGACGATAACGACAACAACAACGCCAACGACGACGACAAGAACAAGAAGAACCACGACGCCAACAACAACAACAACAGCAACCGCAACAGCAGGAGACAGAGCCAGAACCCCAAACTACGACCACAATCCAAGCCCCGCAGCCCAATTCGCAACCACAATAAACAAAAACCAGAACACCATCATCATCATCATCGTCATCATCGTCATGATCATTACCATCCTCATGAAGATATACACTCATCGTCATCGGCTCGAGTCGACGCTGTCTGCTAGCAACTCGCAGCCATGGCAGCGACACGCAGAGAAGAGCTGCTGGGCCACTCGGGGACGGCCACGAACAGCCCCCTTTCTCCTTTTTTTCTTGGTTTCTTCGTCCGCGGTTTATCGGAATGCTCGTCAGGGCTCCACTCATCACGCATCACCTACCACAGCCTCGTCTTCAGAAGCCGAGACAAGTCTGAGCTCGCCAGGAAGTCGTCGTGCCTCACCTCCGATCTGGGAACGGCGACTACAAGTCTAGTTACCGCGTTCTTGCGCTGTCTATGACTATCACTGACTATCACATACACTTGAACCTAAGCATTCAGAAACTTGCGCAAGCATGATGCGAAGGTGGCATGCGGCCCCAGCGATTTCCATCGGTTGCCAGTTCTGGCAACTTCATCGCTGTGCCAGAAGGCGGCTGCAAATCACAACCCTCTGCCTGTTCGTTGTTGCAGCCCGCCCCCCCCCCCCCCCCCCCCAGATGCACACATCAAGACCAGAAGGAAGTCTGCCGACTGCTTGCTGCACATGCTCATCACCTCGCTCACCCGTTCAGATGTCTGGTTGATGCATGCACATTGGGCTGCGAAGCAGGAATGCATGAGAAACTAAGGTTCACCTGTCGAACATAAACGAAGACATCGCCTGCTGCATTTCATGCAACAGGAAGATGTCGTTGTCTGCAATACAGCCATGTGCCTGTGGGACGGTACTACAGCCTGCACTCAGAATTAGGCCCAATGCATCTTGCTTAATCACTTCGCACATGAGCTGTAACATTACGATCACCGCGCTTTCAGAGCGAAAATGTATGTCTGTGTTTGATGCGCCCTGGCAACGGGCCATCGCTATACCACATCCAAGATGACAAAGACTAGAAACTGTCGCGCAGAGGGACTCTGGCTGCCCTACCCGTCATGGGCGGAGATCACTAATGGGGAAGCCGGAAGGCTGCACCTCCTGTTCCCCAACGCAACCCGCAAATCCAAGAAAACTTGCGACGCTCGCATACGCACACACCATCTCTCGAAGCACACAGCATCTGCGAAACATTGCAGGTGCTGTCTCTGTCAGCTATGCCATCTGAACAGGAGCAAATCGGGAGATGGGAGGACATTCAAACCTGTGTTCATTAAAAGACCTCGAGGGGGTCTGGCACTTGAGATGCGGCCGAATTGCTGGGGCCGCCTTCACAAAAGCTGAGAGCTTGTCACGAGTGAGACAGGCGCTTGCTTCGCTCGACACCGCTTTTCGCTTGCGGCTTCGCGCGAGATAGACGAACCTTTAGGAGGACATCGGCGATCTATGAGAACTCAACTCGTAAAGGTGTGGTCTACCTCGCGCACAGAGCGTGACTTTACAGTGTCATCTGACCTTAAGCTGCAAGGCAGCAACAGGCTGTTGATGAGAAATTGAGGAAAGGCTGTACAGAGGGAGGTCTCACGTCCTTCCAATTCTCATGCCACCGCCTATGCGGTGGGAACCTGTGGGCGGTGTGGAACTCACGCCTCTTGTTGCCTGTCTTCCGTCTCCTCACGATGTGGATGCAAGAGAATGTAGCATCAGACATTGACGAGCCACGGAAACGTACTCCCTGTAGTGTCCTGATCAGGGACGATATTCTCGTCGTTTTTCACATGCATCTCCACGAAGGCATCAAAGGCAATGGAGCAAGAGAGGAAGGCGTGCGTAGCCTGCATTCGTGATGTGCCATGGGTCCGCTAGGCTGGCTCTTGATTCGGTTCAATGTCTTCAGGGCACCTCCAATACCCCTTGCGTCGCGGTCCCCGCGAAGCTTCCAATGCCAATGGCAACGCTGCTGAGCGCCTAACCCGGCACACACAGCGATGCGGCGCCGCCTCACCCTGCGCCTCACCACGGAGTCTGAGTTCCCTGCCTCGAAGCTGCTCTGAAAGGCTTCGGAGATGCCCCAGCTGTTGCGCTCCAGTGCGCTTCGAGCCCTGGCGCGGCCACGGGGGGGCATCAGAGAACGTTTGCGACACTGAAAGACCGAGGCAGCCGAAGCACGTGAGCAAAGGCATCTGTAAGGTTTCGTCTTCCAGGATTGTGGGCAACACATCTTCGGAGATGATATGATCCTCAGCCGGCTTTCAGGCTGTCAGTTCCGAGCTACGGGTGCTCCGCTGCATCTGAGCCACGTTGTCCAAATCGAAAAACTCCCACTTTACGCCTGGGCATAGGGAGAGAGTGCCAGAGCGCAGTCGGCGAATCGCTGGCTTCCCCGACTTCCCGGCCCTGGGCACCTGACCTTTGTCTTCTTCGGCGGCAGAATCCTCCCTGAGAAGCTCGGAGTCCTCAGCTGAGGCGCGGCCAGATTTTTCGGAGGTGGGGGAGCCCATGGAGCCCCGATGAGCCGCCCGGGCCTCATCGCTGAAGCTCGTGCCGCGATCCGGCTCCTGGATGTCCGAGCCCTGCGCTGCGGGACTTTGAGTCTAAGCAAACTCGGGTCGAAGGCTCGCAGCGGCACCTCGCTGCTGTCTGTTTCGGCTTCCCACACGGAATGTCTGCCTGAGACCAGTCAAAAGCAGTTGTGGAATGGCGGGCCTTTGACGACGTCCCACATTGCCACAATTCACTAAACTTCGCGCTCATGGTGACCCCGCGAGCCTTCTTCACCTTCAACTTTTGGATGATGCTGCGAGTTGATATCCGAAAAAAATGTAAGCTCGTTCCTCAGGCAGGTGCGACAGCGTAGGGTCTGGCAAGGGCATCGAAGCTGGCCACTGCTTGGTTCATGCGAGGCTCTCGAAGTCCAACTTCGACTCCTGCATGACATTTACGGGCTCTGCAAGATGTGGTGGTGGTCGGTCCCCTACTGGCACGACTTCAACGGCTATTCAGCAGCGATGTGAAGATTGCATGAGTGATGCACAGAACACCTCACAGTATCCGATCCATGGGGAGACAGATCGATGATTGAAAATCGCCATGCCATCGAGCCTTGTCACAGTCGGCGAGCCCCGCCTGGTTGCAGGGTTCCTGCCCGAATCTAGGAACAAACCAACTGTCCAAGTCTATGAATCTCTGACCGTCATTCACTCTGCACCCCTTCCATGTGGTCCTTCGCATCGAAAGATGCGTACGCGCCGAAGTGGCAGTGGCCATCCGAAGACCCTGTCGGGTTTCTCGTTTTGGACTGTTTAACGGTTCGAGTGGACCGGTCCCTCGGCCTCTCGTCATGAGGAGAGGGTGCCACGAAAGCAGATGTGTACCTCGGCTGCGAGTCTGAGACCCCGAGTCGCAAATTCGCAATTTCGTCCACAGAAGCCTGGATTGCCGTCTGGGGCGCTGCTTTGTCCTTCCCTTCAGGCCGCCCGCCCCCCCCGTGAGGCTGCGGGCGCTTTGAGCATAAAATGGCGGAAGCACAGTCGAATCTTGACAATCGAAGGCCCAAAGCACTGCACCTGCCCATAGAAGCCTGCTCTGATCTTACGTTGTCCCGGGCCTGTCCAGCCAGGTTCCCACCAAGAGCCTGAGCATCCCCCCGAAATTTCCAACTTTCCCGAACACCCCTAGACAGTCCAAGGTCAGTCGATGTAAGCTGAGGTGCCGCTCCAGGTCCGACTGGCCTCACGCAACTGATTGGATGCGTGGCCCTCGCTGACCGGCTTTACAAAGTCTACAGGGAAGCTGGAGCTCCCTGGGTCTCCGGCAGTATGCCCGGGTGCTGTCTTCTCGTGCCTTGCTCAAGAATCTCAAAGCCGCTACGTCTCAGCTGCCGCCCCGAGCAGGAGACCACTTCGAGTTCTGGTCCGACACCATGCCCGCTGTGCCCTGGGCCTCAAACCAGCGGCGAAACCTGCACTCAAACACTGCGAAAAGAGCTCACGGGCTCGTGATGCGAGGAACTTGACAGCCAGGGTCAGCACATCTTTTGGTGCCGCAAGTCATGAATGTGGAAGTCTTCGAAAAACTGTGCCTGGCCGAACCTATGCCTGCACATTAACCAACAGTCGGTTTGCATGCTCTACCCGGTAAGACCAGCACATCGAGTGCACAATGCCAAGTCGAAAGGTACATCGCCTGAACCTGTGCCAAGGATCCAATGCGACTGAGCATTTTGTCTTGCGGATATGTGCAACTTGTAATCCACGTTTTCGGCGCACCTCTGTCGGCGAGTTGAAAGCTTCCGCCAAGTTGCGGGCATATTGGTCCAAACCTGCACCGAACGAGGTCCAGCCTGCTTGTGCAAGCCGCTTTACTCTCCCCGCTATTCCTCCGCAAGGCTCTATGCCGTGGAGCCATCGACGCATTTCTTCCACCATGGCTCCGACCAGTGTGGCTAGTCCCGCATTGACAGAACCTGCTGCATTGGGTGCCATTTGTGTCAGAATCTTCAGCATTGCCCCAGCCAGAATCGACCATGGCAGCTGCCGAAAACCAACCGAGTCTAACCAGTCTAGCTATTGCAAATTGCACATCACGGAACGTGTGACTGCAACAAGGCTACACGTACGCAAAGATTCCTACAATTGATTGTGCCAGCTTCGGTTCTGAAAGGATCTGAGGGACTGCCGCGTGCATCAAAACATTCACGGAATCCTGAAGCTTTCCAGACCTTCACGTGAAAATGGCAACACGGTGCTGCTGATGACGAACTCTTTTTCCGCCTGCGACGTGCCGGCAACTGACTACATAAAAAAAGTAAGTTTTGCCAGAGACGGGCTTCAATTTCACCGGAGTAGGCCTCAGTGCCGGGGCGTCCATACTCTTGCTGCGACCGCCCGTGATCGCTTTCATGGAAGTTTCGATGACATGGCCCTGATATGCCCTGGTGCTGTCCACATCAAGCTGATCACTTCGAAGTCTCAGCCTCGAGCCTCGAAGGCCTGCCAAGCAACCTCAATCACCGGAGTCATTCGCGTGCAACAACTGGTCACGAAAAAGTGGGTGGTGACAGCGAGGCTCAGGGATTCCACTGAAGTCAACATCAAGCCGGCTCACACAGCGCTGCTCTCCCTACCAGCACAACTACGGGGTCTTGAAGTTGCAAGTTTCAGTCCCATGACCACTTCCAAATCCTTCGGTCGGAACAACGCTGCATACTTACCGGGTTGTCAGGATGCTCCTGCGAATCCTCCAAAGTCCGAAGTCGAGTGCGGCTGAGCAGAGCATTGCACCGCATTGAACGCCAGTGAGACGGCAAGTTCTGCACAAACCAAAGTTTGGACTGTGTTTAGAATGAATCCAGCTTGACACATGTATGAGGCCGGTGCAAGATGAGTCCTGCTCCTGATCAGCACAACCATGGATGCTCTCGACTAGACCACTCCGATGCATTGCTGGACGCTGGCCTGTGAGCGGAGCAGCATGCGTCGGCGAGCCTGTGCCACCGCCTGTGCCAGGATCTCAAAAACGACGACTCGAAAAATAAACTCTTGTCGTGATCAACTGCACCTCCGTTTGCTGGTGGTCCTCCTCCTTGGGTGGTCGCTCTGTCGGCGCAGACTCCTCATCCAGCTCGACGCGGATGCAGTCGGCCGGCGACGTTGGCTCGTCAGAGCATTGCAGCTGGACTGGCGATCTGTACGCTTGGGACGCTTGCTTGGCCGCTTGGAGCACGTGGCGCCGGGGCGTCGGAGTCCGCGTGATCTCCTGGTCTTGCCTTGCCGGCCAGAACTCTTTGTCCTCCTCCTCAGACTCCTCGCTTGACTCGGACTCCGCCGCGGCCGGAGACGGGGAGTTTTCCGCGACCTTGCCAAATGAGAACCCTTGCAAGCACTCTCCGTTTTGGATTGCCCTGGAGGTAACACGACATCCAATGATGGAGCCTGATTTTTTGTTCATGATGACCGTTTGCACTGCCACTCAAGATCGCGTGGAAACTCGAAACTCAAAACTTCAAACACACACCGACAAACAAACACGACACACAAATAAACGAAAAACACAAACATGGGATTTGATCTTGATGTCGTCCATGGTTGCTCACCCCACCGAGCTATTGATTTGCCTTTCAACAGACTCGATAATCTATCACCTCCACTTCCACGTTCCAGACCCTGGCAGACTCAGAGCTCGCTTCTTTTCTCCTTCGAGAATGGCGATGAGTCGTCTGTGCACGGGATGGCTCTGCTCCTCGAAGAATGGTCACAGAAGACGCTAGGCTATGTTGAGCTTAAAGCATCAGTTTCTTGAGCCAAAGTTGCGTTGGCGGGATACTGAACATAGTGCAGTACTGTGGTACGCGAAGCGTGCCCACAGGCTAACACTTGGAGACAAGGTACGCGAAGCGTCCCCCTGCTCCTGGCTGTACATGTTAGAACTCATAGCTCTTATCGTTACACCGCAGAATCGGGCTGGGTATCGAGGTCCGTTCGCACCCCCCATGTGTCGTGCCTCCAGCACTACTCAACCGGAAGATGGCGCGATTGGAAACACTGGGGATTGATCCACCGCAACTTTGAAATGTTTGAACAAGAGCCTTGTATCCCAATTAAAAAATGACGTGACGCTCATTGACACTCATCTACGTCAGCGACGATCCCCCGAGATGACACACAGAATCAGGCGTCACCGAAGAAAAGGCATGTGCAATCAATGATCACGATCATATAGCCGAGGTCACTGTCACGATTGTTTCAGCTCAGGCATTGTCCCTGTACCAATTGCGAGTACGAGCGGGATCATCACGTTCCCATCGCCGTAGGTTCTCTTCAGGGTTCTTGGACTTCCCTTTCCATTTGCCTGTGCCCTTGTGAAAGTTTAAACCCTTAAGTCAGTATCCACTTATAATCACGGCACGAGTCGGGAATCTTTTCTCACTTCCCAGCTCCGCTGTCGGCTGTGCTTGAGCCTACGTTTGACCTACGGAGACACGCAGTGAAACGCTCTAAATTGGGCATGAGGGAAAATTGAACATTCTGTTACGCCCTCATCACGTACACAGCCTTGTCGTGTCACGTGATCCTTGTGAAACTTTTCCACTCTTGTCGCATGCTCCTTCGAGCTTCATCTTCACTTCTCACACGCTTCTTTAACCTTGTTGAAGCTTTTCTTCTCTTCCTTTGGTCTTCATCCTCAGTCCTGTAATATGGCGAATTTGCATTCCACACACAGTTGGCATGGTGCTCTACGTCCTACATGCAAACTCTCACTTTTTGCTCGATCTCGCTTTCCGCGTCATAGGTCCATAGCTCCATTTTTGCTCTTCGGCAATCTTGGAAACTTGTTTTGGACTTCTCTTGTGTCCATTGGCTTTCGAAAGCCTTCTTTAGCATTTGCACTTGCTTTTGAAGCATTCGTGGTGCTTCATTCGTGGTGCTCGTAGTGCATATCGTTGCCGTGGGACATTTCGTCCACGTGGCTTCTTTTGTCGTTGCCGTGGGATTTCCATCCTCGTGGCTTTTCTTTGTCGTATAGCTTCTCCAAAGCTTTTGTGGTGAAACTTTGCCTTCTGGGCATTTTAGCCCTCACTCACTCCTGAGTGGCTTTTCCACTCTCACTTGCCATGGGCGTTTTGCTTCGCCCTCATCCTTTTTTCTTCTTCTTTTAACCGATCGCCGGTGGTCCTTCAGTGGCTTCCTCTGTGCTGTCCGGTGTCCCCGGGCTAACAGGCCTTGTCATAGTGGCGCTTACGGCTTGAATTCGCCTTCTCAATCTTGATCTGTCATCATTGTTGTGGTCGTTGTTGGACCTAAACCTTAAACCTTGAGTTCTTGATCTTGTTTGGCCTTCGTGACGGACTTGCGTCCGTTCTTCAATCAGTTCATCGAGGCCTTGGTCTTCTTCTTGTTGTAACTCTTCGAGCAATGCTGGGCCCAGCTGCTCGGCTTGCTGTCTGCTGCCTGCCACGTAAGCTTGATATGTAAGAAGTGCGATACCTTCTAGTCCTTGTTGACCAGCATTTTCCAACCAGGTCCTTCTTTCATCAAATGTCATAACATCCCACTGCTCTTCTGGAACATCTTCTGGTCTTCCGTAAAGCACGTTCCTCTCTGGTAGCTGGACATCTTCTTCACCATGACTTTCTCCTCCTTCATCTTGTCCTTCAGCGATATTGTCTGTGTCATACTTTTGCCGCCACACGCTCTCCGCGTGGTCTCTTATGCACTCGACACAGCTATGTGTCGTATGCACCCTTTTGTTCCTCGCGCAGCGGTTCTCATTACACCAATGGCAAATCCCATCGCACATCTCTGAACCTTGTGCCCTTGTTGAGGATTGCCCTGCCTTGTAAC